CTGTAGTCCCAGCTACTTGGGAGGCTGAGGCAAAAAGATCACTTGAGCCCAAGAGTTTGAGGTTGCTGTGAGCTATGATGCCACAGCACTCTATCAAGGGCATCAAAGTGAAACTCTGTCTCAAAAAAAGAAAATCCAAATCTCCTTGTCAACTTCATGCTAACTTGATAGTTCTAAATTTATATTTCTAACTAGATAACCATTAATACTTTGAACATTACTTGAAAAAAACCTCCATATTCATTTTTTCAAAACAGTTCATCCTTCCTCCTGAATTTCCTGCCTTTCTCAACAGTATCACCATTCTCAGGTTAGAAATCTCAATTAGCACTAATGGTTACATTTTTTGTTTACCACGACTGTATCTACTTAATTAGTAATTATTATCAATTTTTCCTTCTTCTCTTCTCAGACATATTGCTACCAACCTAAATAACCCTTTATTAACTTATAATAGTTTAAACTTGTCTCCATTTCTCTACTCAAATTCATTCAAAATATTTTCTTGTTCAATTTCACACCACAGAACAAAAACACCTCAGGGTCTTCATTCTCCTTGGGAAAAAAAATCCAAACTCTTGGCCCTTGGAGACTAAATTCTGGTACCCACTCTACACTTCTGATCTCATCTCCTATTAGTTCTGTAAGGGGATGCCCCACTCCAGGCTGACAGATTTTCTTTCTCAGCCCTCATCTCCCTGTGCTCCTGTGCTCCTGTTTTTATCACTGTGAGTAGAATTCCTCTCTAGGCCATTCCATCTACTAAAGCCTCCCACTCTCTGTGCCTCCACGCTCAGTCGCGCTCTAACTCACACATTTTATATCCGTGTGAAATTACATGAATGTATGATTGATGTATGTCAATAGTGATGTACACGCATGCACACGTATGCATATGTGCTTGCTTCTTTCTTGTATGCCTTCCCTACCATATAAAAGCTTCATGGGGATAGGGACCTCGTCTTGTTCAATGTATTCTCAGTACCTACAACAGCGTCAACATGTAGTAGGAGCTCAATAAATATTTGTTAAAAGCATTACCCAGACTGGCTCAAATGCCCACCTCTTCCAGATAAAAATTATATCTCTCTTGCCACTGGAATCTTCTAGTTTTGACAGCCTACATTTTCCATAAAGCTTATTCACAATATTAATGAAGGTAACTCCATATTTAAGTTTGGAGGAAAAAAGAGACACATGGTAACACTTTGAAATCTCTATTTTTAAAAAAAATGTTTCTTTAAATGGAAATATGTGTTAACCTTATCTGTTTTGGTAACAAAAAGTATATTTAAAATATGCATGACTAGTCATTAGGAAAAAAACACAGCATATTCTCAAATGTTTGTTTTATTACTATAAAAACAGAAAAACATGATAAAGTAGATAAATTACCTGCTATGTCATCTACGATCTCTGTATATGTCCTTCTCGCTATGTCGAGGAACTCATTGATGTTGGACCTGACTGCGTAGCACTTCTGAGTCCTCATGTTCAGGCAGCCTTTCATGTACCTTGCATCATCGTTAATTACTGTTTTAATCTTTTCAAGTATGATTTCAAACCTACCATTAAGGCAGAAAAAGAACAGTATAGCCAATTAGTTATTTTAATTTATAATTTGAATCACAGTTAATGATAGCAAATTTTTGGTAAAAAGTTATATTGGACTAAATAATTAGTGATAAACATTTAAATATGCATAAGTTAGAGCTATGACTATGTCATTTTTAAACTATTTCATCAGTCAAGACTAGTCTAAAACTGTATTAGGCCACCAAGAATAATTACACATCTGCTAATAAATAGACCTCCCAAATTAAACATATAGTATACATATTGCATCTGTGAATACAAAATATATCTTTAAAGAATTGTTATAAAACTCTGGCCTCATGCTCACTTACTCAATAAATATTTGCTTACACCATGTATCAAGCACTATTCTAGGTGCAAGGGTTCAAAGAAGGATTACATACAGTCCCTGCCCTCAGTAGAGGTGAGGGAGACCAAGCACATACTGTGTAACAGGAACCCACAATTACCAGGGATCAAGTTCAGCGATTATGCAAACCAGGAATCTGGCAACACCTATTTTCCTAATCTTTCCTTTATTCTGTTCTGTATTTAGTTTATAATTAAACTGGTTTTATTATTAACTTCAGCCTCATATAGAACATAAATTTTCAATCAATAAAATAACCAGTTCTTAAATATCACAAATATTTTCAGCCCAACAATAAGGTGCCACTGCTAATAATTTAACAATACTAAAATTGAACTGCATTTAGATATTATTCAATATTTATTATCTACTATTTTCAGTTACATTAGACCCTTCATGATTTAACAAATGAGAAAAGTATAATTTTTATTTTTGCAAGTTTTTCCATAATGATTAAAAACAGAAATATTAAAAATGTATTTCAATTTTTCATGTTATTCTAATTGTCCATTAATACAGATAATCAGTGTGTTGTTACTCTTTGTTGTACTTATGGAATTACATATAATTAGGATTCTGATGAGTAGCTGATTATATCAACCAAAACTCAAGTAAGTGTTCTACAGAGTATAATTAGAGTCTTTAAAATCAGCTATAATCAGAAAGGAAATAATGAACTAATATTTCATTAAGTTGAGTGACAAAGACCTGTTGTCTTCCAAGGAACCATAGTAAGCCCTTAATAGAGGCGTGTTACAGTTCTTCAGAGTAATCTATGAAAGAATAAAATGAATAAAAGAACAAAAAGTTAAGGTAAATCAGTTATGAGATCATTCAAATATAGCACTTTATATATGTTTAAATGCTTTACAGTTTACCAAGTATTTTCTTGCTTCATTTTCTCATTTATGTACTCATGAAAATTATTATAGGTTTTCATATGAGGACACGTTATCCTTCCAATGTTCCACAGAAAAAGCACATGACTAATAAGTGCCATCTGCTGTTTCATCATTTTGATTTTTGTTTTTTGCATATCTCAACTAATTGTTAACATCCAATACACCATAACATACACCTCTACTTATAGAGGTAGGTACTTAAACAACTACTATTGTACATTTTAGAGTATTCTACATATAATTCCAAAATTTTGGTTAAACATTGAACCAAAGAAGTGCTTGGTATATTCATAAAAAGAGTAATTTTTATATTGTTATATGGTAAAAGTAGGAATTTTATTTTGCTTAATGAAAACTAAGAGTGACAATTAAACAGAAAAGAGGAGAAGAAAACATAGTTAACCTGATTTTTACCTCTTACTTTAGTTTGATATGAGGCAATGGAAATTTTTTTTAGCTTATAAATAGAAAATAATATGCACATACTTTTAAAAATAAGAAAATTCACAGAAGCATAAAGAAGATAAAAGAAACCACTCATAATTCTACTATCCTTACAAAGACAAATAGTTTAAATATCATGGCCTATTTCCTGTCATTATATGAAATTTAGAAAATGTATATCACTGTATATTTCTTACCCACTCCTACTCTCCATTTACTACTGGTGAGTAGCCTTATCCAAAATGTTAAGGGTCAGAAGTGTTTCCAATTCTGGATTTCTTCAGATTTTGAAATATTTTCATACACGTAATGAGATATCTTGGGGATGAACCCAAATCTAAACATGAAATTCATTTATGTTTTGTATATACCTTATACATACAGCCTGAGTTAATTTATTTTTTACATTTCATGAAGTCATTTTGTATATTTCTATTGGCATGCTAGTATTTTCTTTTTTCTTTTTGCAGTTTTTTTTTTGGCTGGGGTTGGGTTTGAACCCACCTTCCGGCATATGGGGCTGGCACCTACCCTGTGAGCCACAGGTGCTGCTCCTATGCTAGTATTTTCTTATGAAATTATATGAGTTCTGTGATGACTGAAATTAGTATTTTGCCTACCATTTGTTATAAATTTTTCCTTACTTTTTTTACCTCTTGGCTTTTGACAAACCAAAGTTTAAAATTTGTATCGCATCAAATCTACCAATATTTTTCTGGTTGATTTATTCCACCTCTTTCACTATAAGAAATGTGATAATATTTTTGAAATCTACTGTCAAATTATTCTCATTATATTTATCAGAATTAGAATGATCACTATAGATCATTCATAGATGATTCTTTCATAGTTTTTATTTTTTCTTTTTAAAAAGCAATTTCGTTTTGTCACTTCAATACCACAATGCTGTACTTGAAAATTGATGAAGAAATCACCATTTTATAACCATCAAAGTAAAAATTACTTCTAGGAAATATGAATTCTAGAATCAATGGGTGAAAATTTGATGAGGAACAAGGTTCCTTGCATATCCTCAAAGTATCTCTCCATAGATTACTTATTAATTACAAAAGAAAATATAAGAACTTTACAGTGAAGAAACTGATTTACAATTAACATCACCAAGAACAGGTCAATGATGTTACATGTGTCCTGATGTGGTGTACTGGGAAGGCTACAACACTGCCCATGGACTGTTACTGCTAAACACGCATGAGAGGAATTTAGTCATGAGGACGTAATTACACAAACTGAGGCACATCCTATCAGACAACTGACCCTTACACTTCAAAACACCAAAATCAAAAGGCTAAGAAACTTTCCAGTTTAAGGAGTTTAAATAAACATATTAAGTACAATACATGGTCCTGGATTGGACCTTGTACCAGAAAAAAAAAATGCCATTAAGAACATTATTCAGACAATTGCATATATATCAAATAATAGTACTGTATCAGTATTAAATATTCTGAATTTGATAATAATACTGTGTTTATATAAGATAACATCCTTGTTTTTAGAAAATATGCAGTATAGTACGTAGGTACTGCAACTTATTTTCAAATGGCTCTGAAAAAGTAATATCAAGGATAATAATGTATATGTGTGTGCTGTATGAACATATAAAGAGAAAAAATACAGGGAATTCATTATGTTATTTTTGAAAATTTCTCTAAGCTCAAAATTTTTTCTAAACAAGAAGTTCAGAAGATGATGCTGGACATGTTTTGTATGATACGAACGTATAAATTACCTTTAGAGGATCCACGAGTTCCAAGGTATGTTTTAGGTATATTAAATTTGTTATCTTTGATTCAGCTGCATTGACCTGTTAAGATAAAAATCCAAATGTGGACATCATAAATACTTAACATAAGTATAGCTTTTCCTGCCAGGCTTGGTGGCTCATGGCTGTAATCCTAGCACTCTGGGAGGCCAAGGTGGGTAGACTGCCTGAGCTCACAGGTTTGAGATCAGCCTGAGTCAGAGCTAGACCTTATCTCCAAAAACAGTTGGGTGTTGTGGCAGGCACCTGTAGTCCCAGCTACTTGGAAGGCTGAGGCAAGAGAATCGCTTGAGCCCAAGAGTTTGTGGTTGCTGTGTGCTGTGACGCCATAGCACTCTACTGAGAGGGTGACAAAGTAACACTTTGTCTCCAAACAAAAAAAATTTTCCTCTTAAACATTCTACTCTTGTCATATTCCCTATATTTTTATATATCAAACCAGCCAGGATGCCAGCCTAGAGACTGATGAGAAATTACTGCCTCACCATAATAAACCTAGTGCCTGCTCTCCTGAAACTGCAATGAAGAGTTCACCTCATTGTATCCAATTTTCATAGCTAATTTACCCCTTGGGTCCAATTTAAACTTCAAAAGCAAAAGGAGATACAGTTCAATCCTGAGTAGCATCAAGAGACTCAAATTAACTGCAAAGGATATTTGTAGATAGATGTGTGGCTATTTCATTGTGGTCTTAATTTCCATTATCCTGTTAATGAGGTTGAACATCTATTGGCCATTTGAATATCTTATTTTGTGAAAGTTTTATTCAAGACTCTTCTACATTTTTCTATACATTTTATGTTCTTCTGTGATTTTTAAAGCTTCTTTTCATATATTGAATATAAGCCCTTTGTTGGTTCTATGTGTTCCATAGATAACCTCCTCCAGCCTGCTAAAATCTTGGAAGATAAAGATGATGTCTCCCTCCAGAGCAATAGGCAAGCATACTTACTGCCCATTATAAAAGATTCTGGTCCCTAAACTCAGCAATCTGTCCTGTAATTGCATGTGCAGGTGGTACCTGGCCCTCTTCACATGGACCTATTGGAAATGGAGCTTGGATAAACAATGTAGAAAAATGCTGATACTCTGCTTACTGCTATCACTGTGAACACCAATGTCCTTCCTCCCTGACCCAGGAGTCTTGAAACTGTGGCAGGCTGACTGGTTAGTTTGCAAACAGATCTGTCCTAGTTCTTGATGATATTATGCTGTAATTGTTTTTTGTTTGTTTGTTTGTTTAACTTAAATATCATGTTGAAGTTCTTTTGGATCACAGATGTATCCCTAGCACTCACTGCAATGCTTAGTAAAATAAATTACTTGTAAAATGAATAAAAGAAAGAGCCATGTACAGTCTGAAATCATTCAGAAAAATGAAAAGTTATTCAAAGTGAATCAAGAATGCTGGGTAAAAACTAGAAAAATATGTTTAATAATATGTATCAACATTTTCAAATTTTGGAAGAAGCCTTTTAGACATTTATAATAGAAAAAACAAATATTCTTAATGTAATACATTAAATAATAGGATTTTATTTATTTGCTTATTTATTTGTTTATTTATTTTTGAAACAGAGTCTCACTCTGTCGCCCTGGGTAGAATACCAAGGCATCATCATAGCTCATGGCAACCTCAGACTCTAGGGCTCAAGTGATCCTCTTACCTCAGCCTCCCAAGAAACTAGGACTACAGGCATGCACCACCACACTTGGTTAGTTTTTTTTTTTTAATTTTTAATTTTTGGTTGAGATGGGGTCTTACTCTTGCTTAGAGAGTAATTGGTGGGACCACACCTATGGGGCATCGTACAAGGGTACATGTGAAATTTACTAGGTGTAGAATATAAATGTCTTAACACAATAATTAAGAAAATGCCACGAAGGCTATGTTAACCAGTTTGATGATAATATTTCAAATTGTATATAAAACCAGCACATTGTAGCCCATGATTGCATTAATGTACACAGCTATGATTTAATAAAAAAATTAAAATAATAAAAACTAAAAAAAGGGAAGAATGAAAACCATCTATTACTCTCCTTATTGGATGTATCTATAAGTACTACTTAAATCTGAAAAACATCCAGAGGAGATGTTGTTTCATAATTAAAGGTTAAGAATATTTGAAGAATAATCAAACTTTACATAATGATCACTTTTAAGAACAATCTATACTCTTTAGCTCCAATGTAATTTTTACTTATTAGGCAAAAATTATGATAACACAAGTTTTCTGAAAATTATATATAAAGCCTTCAGTAAATATTTGATTAGTGAAAGTATCTTGACTATCTCAAACTTTTTATTTTACTATAATTCATAGGCTTATACATTAGGAAAAAAGTTTCCTCTAAAAAGACATAAAAATACTCTAGATATCAATAGTGAAGTACTTACTCAAGCTATTTTGATATTTTCCAATTGTTACAAGTTCTATAACATAATGTATAATAAGATAACACATAATGAATACTTAAACATACCGTGTCTTGCTTTGGAATTTGGACTAAAACAGAAAGAAGTTGTTCTGTATCAAGAAACCTGGATATAACTGAAACAAAAAAAAATGAGTATTTAAACTTTATGATACAGTTGAAAATGCAGACTATGTAAAACATTATCTTCAAACAGTGAAATAAAGCAGTCTGCCTGAAAATATTACTTGTTTTAATTGTCTTCTTTATCTATCTTACATGTAAAAGGAACGAAATAATAAATTTTATATTCTTTTCTTAATTTTGACTACTCACAATCTCGCCCCCAAATTTGGCACTGCTGACCATCCTTTCTGCTATGGCTGAGCACCTCTACCAAAACTCATATTGGAACCATAATTCCTAGTGCAATAATGTTGGGAAGTGGAACCTTTAAGAGTAGGGCCTAACGGGAGATGTCTGGTTCATGGGGGCTCCGATCTCAAGAACAGCTTAGTGCCATTCTTGCTGTGGTGAGTGAGCTCTCATATTTACAAAATGAGAATAGTTCTTAAACAAATGGACTAGAATAGGCTGTTAGAAAGCAAGGATGCCCTTCATTTTGCCCCTTCACATATGTCCACTTCCCCTTTGACTTTCCACCATGTTATGACACAACGTGAAAGCCCTCACCAGAAGCCAAGCAGATACGAGACCATGCTCCTGGACTTTCCGGCTACCTGAGTTGTGAGCCCAATAAACCTGTTTCATTATAAATCACCCAGCCTTAGAGTCTCCAGTATAGCAGTACTAAATAGATGAAGACATCTTCCTTCTTGAAACTCTGCTCTTCTGGCTTTTGGATATTGTCTGTCTTACTTTTTTATTCTCATCTTTTCCACCTCTACTTTTCTCCAAGATACTTAAAAGATGCTCAGTTTAAAACAATAGTTCAACCACTAACCACATAACCTTTCTAAGTCATCTAACTTCTCTAAAGTCTAGCTAGCTGTTCTCATCTTTTAAATACTGATAACATATACCAGCATAACATCAGGTTTGTTTTGAGAATTAAGAGAGGTAGTATGTATGCTATGGTTTAAATGTATTCCCCAAAGTTCATGTCTTAGAAATTTAATCCTCACCACAACAATGTTGAGAGCTGGAACCTTTAAGAGATAATCAGGTCATGAAGGCTCTGCCCTCACGAGTGAATTAGTGCTGTTATCACGGGAGTGGGTTCTTGACTGACAGGTGAATTTGGCTCCTTTCCTCTCTCATCTGCATACTTACTCTCTCGCCCCTACTTCATGTTATAATCCAGCAAGAACCCCCTCACCAGGCACAAGACCCTCAATGTGGGACTTCTCGGCCTCCAGAATTATAATAAACTTTTTTTTATATAAGGTCTCCAGTCTCAGATATTCTGTTACAGCAGTACAAAACACAGACAGACAACTGGTACTGAGACTGGGGCTGTTGCTTTGCTATAATACCTGAAAATGTGAAATGGCTCTGGAACTGCGTAATGGGTGGAAACTAGAAGAATTTGCAGGAGCAGACTAAAAAAAGTCTAGATTGCTATAAGCACAATCTTTAGGACAATTCCAGTGAAGGCTCAGAAAAAGGGAAGAAACATAGAGAAAGTCTAGGACTTCTTAGTGATTACTTAAGTGATCATGATGAAATATGAAAGGTAAGGCTATTCTGATGAAGTCTCAAACAGAACTGAGAAACAAAATATTGGGAACCTCAGTAAAGGCTCTCCTTGTTTTATAGTTGCAAAGAATGTGGCAGAATTATGTCCAAATCTCAGGAATTTGTGGAAGACAGAACTTAAGGACAATGAACGAGGACATGTGATGGAAGAATATTGAGCAGCAAAACACACTAGGTGCTGCACGGCTTCTCCTGGACACTTGGGACAATAAGAGAAGAGAGACATAATTTAAAGATGAAACTTATAATTAAAAGGGAAGAAGAATGAAAAGATTTGAAAAACTCCTAGCCTGGCCATGTTTGGGAAAGAGTACTGAGGCCTACTGACTGTTTGGTGAAGAGATTAATATAACCAGAAAGAAGCCAGGTTCTACTTATCAAGACAACATGGTAATGAACACAGGCATTTCAGAGACCTCTGAGGTAAAAGAGAACCTGGAAAGCAAAGTTTCCAGAGAGGGGCCCCTGGAAATCCACATTCACTGCCCTGCATCATCTCAAGACTCTGCTCCCTAAATTCTGGCCCAGCACCCCTTGGCACTGTAACTGCTGTATAATCTTCATTATGTTTAATATGGACATAATACTACCATGACATTTTACATGTGATTTTACAAGTCAGACTTTTTTTCTTTTTAGAAACAGACTCTCACTTTGTTGCCCTCGGTAGAGTGCTGTGGCATCTCAGCTCACAGCAACCTCTAGCTCTTAGGCTTAGATTGCCTCAGCCTCCTGAGTAGCTGGGACTACAGGCTCCCGCCACAACGCCCAGCTATTTTTATGTTGCAGTTTGGCCGAGGGCAGGTTTGAACCTGCCACCCTTGGTATATGGGGCTGGCATCCTACTCACTGAGCCACAGGTACCACCCTAGTTGGACTCTTGTAAGCCCTCAATTTTATTCCTTTTTCTTTTTCCAGTCTCTTCCTTTTCCCAAATCTATCATTGCAATCAGAATAGTGTTTCCAAAGTAATAATTTGATCATATTACTCTTAGTTCAGAATCATTCAATCCACAACTATCAGAAGGAAAAAAATTCAATCTCCTTAGTATTATATAAGGGCCTTTCATGATCTTTTCTCCAGCCTCATTTCCTGTCACTCCCCAAGGCTTCAAGTTGTAAATAACTACTGGCCAAGTTTTAAATACAACATGCTCTTTATATCAGTATAAGTACAATCGCAGAACCTTATGCTAAGCCTACCTTTACAAACCTCCCAGAAAAACAAGTATGTCCTAGAAAGTAAAGACTGTTCAAAATCACAGCCAATGACATGCATACCAGATCTTTATCCTGGCCATTACAGCCAAAAACATCTTCGTTACTCCTATGGACATCAACAGGCATAAGGAGAAAAGGAAGGGTGAGAGAGCTTGAGTGCGGTCATTCTGAGCCTGACCACTCTGAAAAAGGAAGTTGCCAGCAAGTCACCAGCCTGTGACCACCCAAAGGTAGATGAATTACTAAACCAGATGCTTTACAAACTGTGCTCACCTTTCTGTGACAGCAGTTTTTGATTACCCTACATGGCCTGGTACAAGACAATGGAGTTCTTGAATATCTAAAAATGTTACCTTTGACCCCCCAAAGGGCCCCCGCCTGCACAGGAGAGCATTTCTACTCCGCCTGTGGGGTCCGATCTGTTACTATCTCTGCTTGATAAACTTTATGTCACTAGTTGAATTCTTTCTGCACTAAGCCAGAACCCACTTGATGAATTCAGGGGGCTTTCCTCCCTTCATTGGGACACCCCTGCATCAAATGTGCAAGGATATTCTCTGTGTCTTCAATACCACTGCTGGGATTGTCCTATTGCCAAAATCCTTCCCATTCCCTTAAAACAAAATGGAAATAGTATCCCTGTGACTCTCACCTTGATTCTATTTTTATCTCAGCTTCCTCCTCTGTGTTCCCATAAAATAATTATTATTGCATTTATCACACTGCATCATAATTATTTATTCAGAGTTCTGTTTCCCTAACATAGATGTTAAGATCCTTGAGGACAGAAACTTACAGTTTAATAGTCCTCATCTTTTTACACCTAACACCTATAGAATGCCCATAATACACATAAAGTAGGTACTGGGGATTTTTATCCCTAAGGTTTAAAGTCTCATATTTTAATAAAATTATAAAAATTACCCACCACTCTGCTTTATGTCCTATTCCTCTACTTACTTGCATATTCAGATAAGTTATAACCTATCCAGATATATAAAACACAGAAATGTTTAACATTTATAGATGCCCACTTAAAACTTCATTCCAAGGAATTTTAAAACTAAAAATATATCTAAAATTAAAATTTCAAGGAAAATCCAAGTTCTTCATCAAAATCTCATCATACAAAACAGTACTATCTTGGGAAGAACAGAATACAAACTTCAACATGTTCAGTAAATGAATCAATGGTTTAACAAATACAAATATCTGTTATGTCCTAACC